GTCTGCTCCGCGAGAGCCTCCGAGGAAGCAGAGCCGGTAATTAAGCCAGCTGCCACTAATCTGTTGATTAAGTAGACAGCAGGGCTCCCTGCAGAAGCCTGCTGGTTTTAACCTATCGGTTAATAACCTGCAGAGCGCGCGGCATTCCTCTGTCCGAGATACGCCTCCTAAACACATAATAATAGTCATAATAACCCATGAGCGCCATTATAAAGCCTCATGTGGACAGCACTGCGCACACCTCCACTCATCCCCTGAGCGTGTACACGCCTCATGATGACAGCTGGAGTGAAACGCAGCGTGTGGAGGCTTCCTCGCAGCCCTTTCGCCTCACGGGCAGCAGCGGCGAGGGCAATGGCGTGGCTCGTCACCATGACGACCATTACAGCACATCACAGAGAAGCCAGAACGGGGGAATGAGCAGTATTCCAGGCTGAGTGCCCCCAGCGGCAGCGCCCGCAGCACCACGGCGCCATGGCGCCATGGCTTGCTGCAGAAGCCTGCTGGTTTTAACCTATCGGTTAATAAACTGCAGAGCTCGCTAATTAAGCCGGCTGCCACTAATCTGTTGATTAAGTAGACAGCAGGGCTCGCTGCAGAAGCCTGCCGGTTTTAACCTCGGTTAATAACCTGGAGAGCTCGCGGCATTCCTCTGTCCGAGACACGCCTCCTACACACGTTCATAATAAACCCATGAGCGCCATTATAACGCCTCATGTGGGCAGCACTGCACACACCTCCATCCATCCCCTGAGCGTGTACGCGCCTCATGATGAGAGTCGGAGTGAGACGCAGCGTGTGGAGGCCCCCGCGCAGCCCTTTCGGTCCAAGCCCACCTGGGGTTGCCTCACGCCCTGTGTAAACCAGCTGCCTATAACCTGTCGGTTAATAGCCAGCAAGGCTCGTTGCTAAAGCCTGGTTTTAACCTGTCGGTTAATACATTTCAGAGCGCGCTAATTAAGCCGGCTGCAACTAATCTGTTGATTAGTAGACAGCAGGGCTCGCTGCAGAAGCCTGGTTTTAACCTGTTGGTTAATAAACTACAGAGCTCGCGGCATTCCTCTGTCCGAGATACGCCTCGTACACACGGCCTTAATAAACCCATGAGCGCCGTTATAACGCTTCATGTGGGCAGCACTGCACACACCTCCATCCATCTCCTGAGCGTGTACGCGCCTCATGATGAGAATCGGAGTGAGACGCAGCGTGTGGAGGCCCCCGCGCAGTCCTTTCGGTCCCAGCACACCTTGGGTTGCCTCAGAGGCAGGGGCGGCAGGGGCTGGCGTGGCTCGTCACCATGACGACCAAAAAAACACATCTCGAGCACGTGGGCCCGCTCTCAGAGTTTTTCTCAGAGTGGCAGCGCGTGGGTCTGATGGACAGATGGATGAGCAGGCTGATCAGCAGAGGAGACAAACGTTTATCTGGAGTGGAATTAAACTCAGCCAGCAGCAGAGCGCGGCTCTCGCGGCAGCAAGTGGAGGAACTGACAGCTCTCCTCCGGCATGTCACAACCCACACAGCCCTCTCCGTGACGCAGCTGCTCGGCGTTGGCGTCAGCCTGTCACGTGATGATCCCCTTGGTTCTCTTCCAACAGGGGGACACTCCAGAGGTGGTTCATTAGCGGCAGAAGCCTGCTGGTTTTAACCTATTGGTTTATAAACTGCAGAGCTCACGGCATTCCTCTGTCCCAGATATGCCTCCTACACACGGTCATAATAAATCCACGAGCACCGTTATAACGCCTCGTGTGGACAGCACTGCACACACCTCTCATCCCCTGGGCGTGTACGCGCCTCATGATGAGAGACGGAGTGAAATGCAACGTGTGGAAACTCCCTCGCAGCCCTTTTGCCTCACGGGCAGCGGCGGCGATGGCGTGGCTCGTCACCATGATGACCATTACGGCACATCACAGAGAAGCCTCTCCCCCCAGCAGTTCCATGGGATACAAGAAACACTCCTGTCATCCCAGGAACAGTGTCTTGCGCGGTTTTTACTCCCGCTATTTTTCTAAATCTCGGAAAAGAATGGGGGAGTCGCCCCGTGGATGTACAATCAAACATGTGTTGATTTGCACAGACAACAGGCCACGGCTATGGAAGCAGCCTACCTCAATCGCCAGGGAGGAGTACGATCTGCGCAGCTTCTGAACGCAGCCAGGTGGCTGCTGTTCTGGGCGCGCACACACGTTGCTCCCCATCAGAGCAATGTATATTCCCGGCAAAATTAACAGAGGGGCTCGCAGAACGCAGCAGCCGTTGTATGCGAGGAGTATGGAGACTCAGACCTGTGTCATGCACACTGGCGCCTCAGTGGGATTTGGCTTTGGTGTTACGCGCACTAAAGCAAAGCCCCATTTGAACCTGATCAGGTTCCCCTTAAACTGTTATCAGCCAAATTAGTACTGCTTTTGGCTTTATCAGAGAAAAGGGTGAGTGATTTGTCTGCTCTCTCTGTGGCTCCGTCATGTCTCCGGATCCAAGGAGATGGCAGTTCAGCTATTTTACGCCCTAACCCGGCTTCATGCCTAAGGTCATCACAACTCTTTTAGGTCAAGAGTGATCACCCTGGCTGGCTTCTTTCCCCCTCCTCACAGGTCGGAGGAAGAAGCCACGTCTCATCTCCTCTGTCCTGTGCGCGCGCTGTCCTGCTATGTGGCGCGCACGGCGGCCTGACACCGTTCTCAGCACCTGTTTGTGCACTATAGAGAGCGCTCGATCGGGCAACCTCTGTCTGCACAACGGCTGTCACACTGGCTGTGTGAGGCTGTGTCACAGGCATATGTCTCCTCTGGGGTGGAGCCCCTGGAGAACATCAATGCGCACTCCACCAGAGGACTTTCCTCCTCCACGGCTTTGCACGGAGGAATGTCAGTGGAAGATATTTGCACTGCTGCATCTTGGTCTTCCCCCTATTCATTTGTTCATTTTTATTTGAGAGATGTCTCCCATTCCTCTCTGACACACCCTGTACTGGGTGTCCTGTCGGAGTGAGTGACGTCAGGGAGCCAGCTGGGCGCTCTCCTTCCTGTCTGACACGCAGAGAGCTGCTGTTCCCCCTCTATGATCGCTGGGCAAGGTGGGACCTTCATCTCTACTTTCTCACAGCGGCCGGTATGTATTGTTCCCAGCCTTCGACCCGTCGGGAAGACAGGCATGTTTTGCTATGTTCCAGGGAGGGTGATGCGCCATTACGCATGGCACAAAAGGCAGGGGGTGTTATTGAGCAGGTGTGTCTGTGCTTCTAGTGCCGGGCGGACCCAGTGGGGCGCAGACTACATCATGCTTCGCCCTTAACCCAATACCGATAGCCTTAGAGGGCGAAGCCATATACGAAATAGAACTGAGGTTACCTACTGTAACCCCAGCTTCTATGAGTAAATGGCGCAGCCCTCTAAGCGCGGGGCCCCACTGGCTCTACGAATAGCTGAAGAAAAGTTATTTTGTATGGGAGCAGATTGCCGGGCCTCCTTCCTATTTATACCGGAAGGGAGCCCGAGGGTGGGGCCCACCTTGCGGGTGGGTGTGGACTACAAGTTTTCAGTGCTGCGCGGGGGCGCAGGGGGATTACCCAATAGCGATAGCCTTTAGAGGGCTGCGCCATTTACTCATAGAAGCTGGGGTTACAGTAGGTAACCTCAGTTCTCCCTGTCATGTTTTCCTCGTTTATTGTCTGGTCCCTCTCTCTGTGTTTTTCCTCCTGTCGTTAGTTTCCCTGGTGTGTCTCATTGTGTTCACCTGTGGCCCTTGTGTTTCTCCTCCCCTGCCCGGCTGTTTCTCGTCTTGTGATTACCCCTCCCTGTATTTAGTCTTGTCTTTTCCTGTGTTCAGTGTTGGTTCGTCTTTTGTTTGTGAATGAGTTCACCGGTGAGAGTTCTGTTTTGACCTAGTTATTTTTATTTTATCCTTGAAATAAAGGCTTTTTTCAGCGTTATCTGCATTTGGGTCCTGCTTGCTTCACTCACCGTAACAGTCATTGACTAGGTCCCCCCGTGTGGTTCTGGGATTTTTGCTCACCGTTCTTGTGATCATTTTGACCCCACGGGGTGAGATCTTGCGTGGAGCCCCAGATCGAGGGAGATTATCAGTGGTCTTGTATGTCTTCCATTTTCTAATAATTGCTCCCACAGTTGATTTCTTCACACCAAGATGCTTACCTATTGCAGATTCAGTCTTCCCAGCCTGGTGCAGGTCTACAATTGTGTTTCTGGTGTCCTTTGACAGCTCTTTGGTCTTGGCCATAGTGGAGTTTAGAGTGTGACTGTTTGAGGTTGTGGACAGGTGTCTTTTATACTGATAACAAGTTCAAACAGGTGCCATTAATACAGTTAACAAGTGGAGGACAGAGGAGGCTCTTAAAGAAGAAGTTACAGGTCTGTGAGAGCCAGAAATCTTGTTTGTTTGTAGGTGACCAAATACTTATTTTACCGAGGAATTTACCAATTAATTCATTAAACATCCTACAATGTGATTTCCTGGATTATTTCCCCCCATTCTGTCTCTCATAGTTGAAGTGTACCTAGGATGAAAATTACAGGCCTCTCTCATCTTTTTAAGTGGGAGAACTTGCACAATTGGTGGCTGACTAAATACTTTTTTGCCCCACTGTATATACATTTTCAGGTAGAGAAAAATCAAGTGTCAATGAGCAGCATGTGGTTTGTGAAAGGATATGTGCTGGACTATTGGCGTGGGTAAGACACTGTTATCATCAATATGAACCAGCTGAGATTCCAGAAAAGTTTCTATCTGCCCTTTCGCATCTCCACATTACAGGTACACTACTTTAAGGGTGGTTCTACATGTTGCCACTGGATGTAAATTATAAGGTGTGTGAAATTAAGACCATTGTTTTTATGGTTAAGAGACAGAAAGGGTTCCTAAAAAGGTTTGGTACTTTTAACAAATTAACGTTTTAGATATACTGTATAGCTGGATATTAAAATTGCATGTGGTTAACTAAAGCATAACTGAACCTTGGTACTTATAGCACTTACCGAAGGCCCAGCCAACAGCCACACACTGGACCAAAGACACAAATAGCAGACATATCCCATTGGCACCATAGTAATCAATCAGCTCGAACTGGTATACTCCTCCCTGGATAACACAGAAGAGATAATGTCAATGAAATACTCATCCCATATGAGAACATGCTAAATATTAGCCAATGTGTTTGGGAGGGGGAATGCCAGCCTGTTTAGTACCTGTGTGGTGAGAGTGATCTGTAACAGGAAGATGAAAGAGCTGAAGACTACGAGGAGAATTTCTCTGCGCCAAGGTCTGCGCATCTGTCCAGGGAACATGTCAATCATTGATGATGTTAACGTTTCCAAACCTGCAAACTGACACAAACAAGCAGACAGAAAAGTAATGAGCCTAGCTGGGTTTTCACTATCATTCCATACATGGCTCACAAGATTTAGGAAGTATGGGGCCTTATCTGAATACTGGAGGTACAATCACCATTGAAGCCTAGGTGTTATGCATGGCATACTCTCAATGTTCTTACCAATGACACAAAGACAAGAAGTATTTTTGGGATAATGGGTCTTGCAAAATTGTGGTCATTCCAAATCTAACTCTCCCACAGAAACCAGAAGAAAATGATGTCGCACAATGTCTGGTTCAAAGAATGTGTTACACATGGTACCTGTCAAGTGAACTGGTGATCTATTGCTTTTGCTAAGAAAACTACAGGACACATGGACCATTTGCTCCAGTGAAGTTGCTGAAAAATGGCTTCCGATCTGGTACTCCCTTCCAACTTCCTCTGAATCTATTGCGAGGACCAAATACTAGAGAGCTAGCTCGTGTCCTCCGCTGTCCACTGCTGTTGAAGTTTGCATTCATGATTTTGTCGTAGTGTTGTATTTTCCAGGACCGGCTATTGTGGAAACGGTAAGAATTGATTCACAATCAGGCACTAGCTCCAAACTGACCAATCAGAGGAGGCGCGGCACTGCACGCGACTCGGGATCGGGAGAGAATGTTTGTTTGTCTTCTAAGTCATTCATTCATTATACGTTTGTTTTGTCAAGTTTTTCTTTTCGTCAAGTGTGCTGTGTTGTTTTGTTTGTTTTTTATGGAGCCTGGCAAGCTCACATAAGTGAACAATAAGGCAAGATGACGATGGGGAAGAGGACTGCTGTGCTGTTTTTGCTAATGCTAATAACATCTAGCATTCGCTGTTTACAAAGCGAAGCCAACGCCGGGATAACCGTGGGAAGCGAGCAGGTGCTGCGGCCCTATGACAGGGAATGTCTGCTGTCCTTACGGAGAAGAGCCGTCCCGGAACTGGGCCTGCTGGACTATGTCCCGGAGGAGCTGCTAAAACGGCCGCGGAAACGAGGGAGGAGAGGCGGCATTAAACATCGACTCCGCTGGAGATGCAATAAGCCGCCGTTACCATCAATACTCTTCAGCAACGTCCGTTCCCTTAGAAATAAGGTGGAGGAGCTACGCCTCAACACTAGGATCTTAAACGAATACCGTGAGTCATGCATGATGATTTTCACTGAGACCTGGCTTCAGGAAGACTTCCCAGACTCATTGGTTCAGGTACAAGGCTTTTCAAACGTTCGTATGGATAGGAACAGTAACTCTGGGAAAGTGAGGGGGGGAGGCATTTGCGCTTATATAAAGGACTCTTGGTGCAGCAATTACACAACAAAAGACACTGTGTGCACTCCCGATATCGAACTCTTATGCCTAAGTCTGAGACCATTTTACCTACCTAGAGACTATGGGAAAATTTGTATCTGTGCTGTTTACATCCCACCCAATGGGAACGCATCAAAGGCTGCCTCACGTGTAGCGGACTGCGTTCACGAGCAGTTAAAGAACAAACCTGATGCACCTATATTTGTTATTGCAGATTTTAATCACTGTAAACTAGAACCAGCACTTCCGGGATTCCAGCAATACGTAAAAAATGGCACCCGGAAATAACATACTGGACAAATGTTATGGCAACATCAAAGATGCGTATGCTGCTCGGATTGGAACCCCCCTTTCAAATTCGGACCATAACACCGTCCAGCTAATCCCCACCTTTAAGGCTGACATCAAGAGAAGTAAACCTGTCTCTAAAACTGTCAGTCTATGGCAGGATGAGCATAAAGAAAAGTGGCTGCTTCCTGGCCACAGATTGGGAAGTATTCTACCAGGACAATGACACTGATACCATCGCTGAGACCATCACAGACTACATTCATTTTTGTGTCGATACTGTTGTGCCAAAAAAGACCATTAGGATATATCCAAACAATAAAGACTACGTCTCATCGGATATTAAACAGTGTATCCGACGAAGAAATATCGCTTTTCAAAAGAACGATGCAATACAACTGAGATGAGCTCAAAGAGAACTAAAGGGGAAACTTAAAGAAGCCCGAGAGCAACATAGTCTGAGAGGCCGAGAGGCTTTCTCAACCAAGAACTCGAAAGAACTGTGGGACTCTGTTAAAGAAATTACAAATCTGAACTCCGGCAAGAGGGAGATGCATGTTCTGGATGAGCTTAACAAAGCAAATTAACTTAACAACTTCTACAAACGTTTTGATATTAATTCTGCTTCTAACATTGATGCATGTAATAACTTGTCAACCTCTTTAACCTGTGACCCAATACACAATAGAAGAAGAATAATGGATGATAGTGCTGTGGCCAGGGTTTTCAAACAACTGCATACTAAGAAGGCCAGTGGGCCAGACGGTATTTCGGCACTCCTGCTGAAAACGTTTGCAGACGAGCTCACCCCTGCCTGGAGTCCATTATTCTAGCTCTCTGCTGACTCGGGAAGCATCCCTCAAATATGGAAGAAAGCTGTCATCATACCAGTTGCAAAAAAACCATGCCCACATGACAACAACGACTTCAGACCAGTGGCTTTGACCTCAATAGTTATGAAGTCACTCGGACGGATTATTGTAGGGAACTTGCGAACTGAGGTGCAACACCTCTTGGACCCCTACCAGTTTGCGTACAGCAATGGTAGAGGTACAGATGATGCTCTGACCTCTACAACTCACTTTATTCTAAAACACCTGGAAAATCCTTTAGCTTATGCTAGATTAATGTTCATGGACTTTAGCTCAGCTTTTAATACTATTCTTCCCCAAATGATGTTAAAAAAGCTCAAACAGATGGATGTGAACCCTTACTTAATCAGATGGTACCACTCCTTCCTAACTGAAAGACAGCAGCAGGTGAAAATAAACTCGACCCTCTCTGACACACAGGTCATAAGCACAGGGGCACCACAAGGCTGCGTTAGCTCTCCTCTTCTCTTCACACTCTACACAAATGAGTGTAGGAGTCAGCACACACACAACCACATCATAAAGTTTCTGATGACACAGCCATACTTAGGCTACTGACTAGAGACTCAAACATTTCTATGTATAAACTTGAGATTGAAGAGGTCGTGAAGTGGTGTGAGGCGCACAACCTGGTGTTACATGTTAAAAAAACAAAGGAAATGATCTTTGACCCCAAGTCAGTAGGTGATCACAGCCCCGTCCTTATCAACAGGGAGGGAGTTGAGCAGGTTACACGTTTTAAATATTTGGGGATTTATTTTGATGCTCAGTTAGGCTGGGCCCATTAGGTGGATCAGGTATGCTCAAAGATAAGCCAGCGCCTGCATTTTCTGCGTCGGCTCAGGGTTCATGGAGTGGATAAATGCATCATGTTAATGTTCTACAGGGCAGCAATTGAGTCTATTATTCGTTATGGCATCACAACATGGTTTGGTAACTTGTCAGTTCAATCTAAATCACAACTCCAGAGCTTGATAAAAAGGGCTGGAAAAATAATTGGCATGCTTCCACCATCCTCTCTTCAGGAGATATTTGAGGAGATGGTGAGAAAGCAAGGCCGTAAAATCCCATGCGACCCCAAACACATCCTGCATAGAGAGTTTGAATTGCTGCCCTCCGAGGGCAGAAGGTATAGATTACCAAACTGTAAATTAAACAGGTATAAGTTTTTCTTTGTTCCGCTGTCAATCAAGCTGCTGAACAGTCAGAAACAATTGTGATTATGCTGTTAGGAGTTGTTGGGGGGTGAAATGTTTACAGTGTAGTATGTGCAAATGAGAAGGTTAAATAGGGGAAGTGCATTATGTGTAAATAGTAGGGCCGGGACTCGATTAAAAAAATTAATCTAATTAATTAGAGGCTTTGTAATTAATTAATCGAAATGAATCGCATTTTTAATCACATATAAATATTTGACCTGAGAACAGTGAGAAGCAATTTTTTTCACATGGATTTTAGTATACCATTAGGCGCATTCACACCGCAGTACTTTTCCCACAAAGGTTCATGAGAACTTAGTTCATGAGAACAAATGAAGCCGCTGACGTCACTTCTTCTTCTTCTGCTTTGGGTTTACTGGCAGGCCGCAAACCACTTCACGGCGTATACTGCCGCCCAAAGTCCCCGGCCGGAAGTCCCCGGAGTTGGGGACTGGCTTCAGTAGAAGCTGCTGGGAGTCCCAGCAGCCTTCCGAGTAAATCGCCAGAACGCCGACACCTCCTCATCTCCACCGCTCCCATGTTTTATTTTGTGTTGCCATAAGTTAGTCTCTCTGCGTTTCTGCGCTGGGCTAATGCTAATAATGCTAATGCAAGGATAATAAAATGGCGGCTTCACCAAACTTTTTGGGAGTTTTACGGGGCGTGGTTTGCAATCCGCCCAGCCAATCAGAAATATAGCTCTTTTCTCACAAGAGAGCCGTACGAAAGTCCCTGCTCTCTAGCAGGGACTTTCGTGGGGGTAAAAAGGTTCTCATGAACTAATTTTAGTACCGGCTCTTTTTGGTGTGAACGCGATAAAAGAGGCTAACGTCCACGCTAGCTTCCACGCTAGCTGCTATATGTTTTGCATTGAGGTGATACTTGAGGCTTGATGTGCTGCGGTGATATGCAAATTCCTTTTTGCATAATTTGCACACAACCGTGCTCTTATCGACGCTTCCATCCGTCCGTTTTTTAAAACAACATTTCCCACTGTTGTTCACTGTGGTTTGTTGTTGTCTGAAGTCATGAACGTTAGTTGGTGCTCCAGTATAATCGGTACGCCTGAAACTCATCCAGTGAGAAACGTTCCACGGTGCAAAAATAAGTGCGATTAAAATGCGTTAATTTTTTTAACGCGTTAATTTTTGTGTAATTAATTAATCTTAATTAACGCGTTAAAGTCCCGGTCCTAGTAAATAGGTATGGACACAATAGGGATATGTGCAATTTGACGGACACTATGCATAGGTGCAATAGGGAAAGTGCAATATTGATTTGTGTATGATTACAATAGGGAAAAGTGCAATATTTGATTATGTA